AGAAAGACTACCTGGGGGGGGGGGGGCAACCCCCCCCTGAGCGGGCGAGGGTTAAGGTCCTAGAACAACCAGTGACCTCTGAGGTCAGGTCAGGTGCCTCAAGGTACGGTTCCGTTTTTGGTGAATAACTTCGCATAAAACGACTGTAGAGCCGCGATTTTGGCAGCATCGTGTTTGCCTCGCTCAGGCGCGTCGAATGTTATACTTTTTGTTTGGGTGAGGTCAACTTAGGGTGTTGTTCTCAGGTCACGGTCAGGTCAGCGCCTCCAGGTCACGAACTTGGTCAAAGGAGGTCATGTTGCATATCTATCGATTCGGCTGGACTTCCTGGGTCCATTGGTGGCTTTCCCGACTCGCTAGCTTAACCCTCGCATGTGTAGGGGGGGGGGGGTCGGATGGACCCCCCCCCCATGGTTTTTCGCGAATAACTCGCGTAAAAAGCGGCCGATCGCAACGAAACTTTCAGTACCCTCGCATTGATCAATTTTACACCTACCCTGAAAATTTCATGACCCTGACCCAAATGACCTTTGACCTGTGACCTCTTTTCCGAGACCATGTTTGGCCGGAATCGCGATTTCGCGTATGTCGGCTCGCACTAGCCGCGTGTTTGCAAGCTTTTCGTGGTTTCAAACGTTCAAACATGTGATTTGATGTTACTCCCGTGTGTGTCAAGGTCACCTGAAGGTCAGGTAAGGTCATTGACCTTTGGTGACCTCGGGTGACCTCGGGTCACTTTTTCGAGTTTTACATGTTTCTAGGCTAGTTTTTGGAGCTGAATTCGAATTTAGCAACCATTTGAACATTTACGAAGTAGTTTTGGTGACTTCGTAACATGTTACGAAGCTGTCAGAGGCGGTTGACACGTACTACGAATACCCGTCACGACGCCTACTGGTTGACCTGACCTGACCTGACCCGACCTGGTCTAAATGCTCCAAGACATCATCTGTGATCAAAACTAACACGATATTCGTGATCAGCACCCCGAAAAACCCCTTAGCAGCCACACTTTACAACTTTCTAACAGGTCCCGATTTTCCCGACTTTGGGTCATTGACCTGACCTGGAAGGTCAACCAATGACCTAGGACCTTAAAATTGGGTATCATCGGCTTCCTCTCGTCACGGGCAACACGCTCGTTTTTTCCGCGAAGCTCTAGCTCGATCAGGAGCCAAACGGCAAGGGGGGGGGGTCCAACCGACCCCCCCCCCTACACATTAGAAGCTGGCAAACGCCGCACACATGCGAGGGTTAACTTGACCGAGGGTTATTGACGAAAAACTAAAACGAAAAACTACCCCAGTGGCGGTCTCAGCCAACTTCGCCCTAGTGGGGGTGGGGGGGGGGGGGCATATGTTACCACCCACCTCTAACTCAAAAACTAAGAGGGCTAGAAAGACGCGGTAAAAAGCAGTCGATAGCTCTCAATTCGTACGTTTGAAAGTATTTCGGCCATTTTTCATCTTGGAGCAATATTGGGGTCACTGGAGGTCATCAAAGGTCAAAATTTGCCCAATGTCATTAATTTTTCAGAAAACATGCATTTATCTCAGGAACTATGATAGCTAGAAAAACGCATGGAAAGGTAATCGATAGCTTATGAACTCTTCTTTTGATAAGGTCATCATCAAAATTGACCTCAGGTCAACGGTTTAGCCGCCAGAGGGCAAAAACTAAAAAAATAGCTGTTTTTCGCAGTGTTTTTCGACAAAAACTTTTGACTAGAAAAAGCCACGACATTTCTATTGCCAGAATCGTGTTCCTCTCGCTCAGACGCGTCGAATGAACTATAATTTGACCTTGAAAAGTCAACTTGAAAATTTGACCTCAGGTCAAGGTCATGACCTGACCGAAAAAGGTCATGTTGCATATCAATCGATGCGTCTCAACAAGACAAACACAATGAGACCATCCCCAGCGTCCCATCTCTTTCCAATCGAGAGTTATTGGCAAAAATCTGTTTGTAGCCTCAAATGACCTCGGATGACCTTTCTAGAGGCTATCAGCAAAAAAGACACCTTGGTCGTCACGGGTGGTCCAAATCATTGTAATTCTGAAATATTTGGACTGTTCCTATGCGTACACACGGATCTGGAGGCATTTTCATTTTTCTCCATTGACTTATAATGGTAAGGTCACGCTACTGACCTGACCTTAGGTCACGGATATAAAAAATCCGAGATATACAAATTGTAGGCACCCATGACATCATGCAAACCACAAAGTTTAAAACCTTTCTGACAAACACTGCAGGCTGGACATGATTGCAAACTTTTTTAGGCCTGGTCAGTTAACTTGACCTGGTAACCTGACCTGACATGACCTGGGGTAAAAAATTTCACACATTGTCCAAAATTGATGTACAAAAAGCTATGCCAAGCGGCGCGGCGCTAAGCGCCGCGGTTTTTTATTTATACGCAAAAACGCGACAGGGTGGTAACATATGCCCCCCACTGGGGCGAAGGTTAATGACGTCATGCAAGGTCAACATTGCAGAAGTGACACATTGAACCTTGCAAGGAGTGCATCAAATCACGATTTTGTGTGCCTGAGATAGTTGGAGATCGTTCCCGGCGCCAGAATAGCAGTTTTCATTTTTCCCCATTTACTTATAATGGTGAGGTCACGAAAATGACCTGACCTCATATGACCTTTAGGAAAAATCGAGATATACAAGTTGTGAGACTCGTAATGGATACAAGATCCTGCAAGTTTCATTTCCACAGATGTCACATGATGGCAACTACTCAGGAAGAGTACTTTACAAGAAAGAAGAATATGAAGCAATTGGAAGCAAGGGAAGCGTGACCGAAAGAGACTGGACACTTGTGCAACGTAAAAAAAGAAAAACAAACAAAGAAGGTTTGGAGCAGTGCTTATTGGAGAGCAAAATGTAACTTGAATCAAGGCGGCAGCTATGGATGAATTCCAGTTCGATCAAAATGTATCGTTTGTTTGTGCAAACATGGACGAATTTGAGCAGAAACTCTCAGATGTCACCAACAGATCCAGAGCAAAACAGATTGACGTTGCCATTCATCTGGGAGCTGAAGACGCCATCGAGCACAGTGCGGATTACGTGTTAGACATGCTCACCCACAAGGTCAACCAAACTCACGAACAAAAACACGTGGATACCGTGTACGTGTGCTCTCTGGAAGAGAGAAGGGATGCTGGAGCTAGTGTCTATCAAACTGTGAAGACCATCAACACTGAGCTAGCCCAGCTGTGCCACTCAACAGGAGCAACTTTCGTTGACCTTACATAGATCCCGCCTGGAAGAAACGGAGTATGGGAGGATCAACAGAACGGGTATCCTGTACAAGTGTACACTTTTGAAGGAGCCCGCAATGCTGCGCAACACCTCCTCAGTCAGATCCCTGGATTTTTACATTAAATGCTTCGACTGCTCCTGCTGGTCGTAGCAGGTGCTCTGCTCAGAATTACTCGGGTCGCCTACCTCACAGAAGTCAACCGAATTTTCTTACGACCAATGTCAACGGGCTTTGCACGAATACTAAACAAACAGAACTCTCTCTCCTGCTACATAAGCATAATATTCATGTAGCGGTATTACAGAACAATGCAAAACAATAAACATCACGGACCGTAATAAGCGCAGTTTGCGGCGGTCTGTGTGGGAGCGCCGTCCTTGCGCCGTATTGCGCCTGATAAGGTTGTTAACCCGCGCCCCACTGACGGGGGGGGGGGGGGGGAGGGGCTATTCATAGCCCCCTCCCCTTTTTCTGCAATAACTTCCAAACCGCTTGACGTATCGACGCCAAACTTTCAGTACCTCCCTTCGGCTGCATCAATTTGACACGTTTTGTCAAAATATGAACTTCGTAGCTACCATAGGTCGGCCGGAAATGACGTAAGAGTGACGTCATTCGGCCGATTTCGACGAAAAACATTGAACCACGGCAATCGCTCCCAAGAGCTCAGTTTTCAAGCTAGATCCAATTTCTTTGCATGAAAGGACTCAGAATAGACTGCGCTATCAAACTGCTATCTCGGTTGTTCGAAATTATAAAAATTTCGAAAATTTTATATAACTAAATTCAAAATTTATATTTTTATGTTTTTTCATTTTTTTTTAACTTTTCGAAAAAAAACGGAATTTATGTGATAGAACGCATGCTTATGACTAGCTTTAGCATGAGTTTTAGCTAAATCTCTTAAAAAATGACCAAGTTATACGCATTATTGCAAAAAATTATCAATTATTAATTTTTCAAATCAATTTTTCAGTACATATTTGACATCGTACACCAATATAAATAGAACCATCGTGTTCCTGAGCTGAAACTGCATCCAATAGACACCTTTTTTGTTGAAAAATTTTAACTTCAAAATTTCACATTTTTGACCTGAAAGTGACCTGACCAAAGCTAAATTCGACTCAAAATGACCTCGAATGACACAGACGACATCAAATTCGAAATCTTTGGCCTAAATGGACCATAAGGCATGTGTCACGTGACCGACGCATGATATAATATTTCCGTGACCTGTGATGACCTGACCCTGACCTGAAAATCAAAGTACAAGTTTGGTATCCTCAGGGTATCTAGAGCATCTGTTCACGAGTGTGTAAACCAAAAATGAGCCTGATCTGACTTGTAAGACGGCGGCCAGAGCCCAAAATGTGAACAAGCCAGAATGCTAATAATTTCAATTTGACCTGACCTGTGACGTCATCAGTAACCGCGAGTTCAATGAAATTAGGTTTTGCTCGACAGTTTTTCCGGGGCTATCAGACGCCGTTTGAATTTTTAACGATCGGGAAAGTAGTTTCGGAGTTAGGAGGGGGGCTACGAAGAGCCCGCCCCCCCCCTTCCCCAGTAGGGCGTGTTATACGCAGACCCCAGTGGGGCGCGGGGTAACAGTTAAACCATTATGAACGGCGACCCTCACACACCGCGGATCAACATGACGTTTCAAATGCATGATTATTCAGACACCAAAGATACCCCAAAGTCTACTTTTCTTGGCAGGTGTGTTTCCGGAGCGGCGGCTGCTTCGTCTGACGACGATGTGTGGGATTCCGAGCAGCGGCGAGCTGGCGGGCCACTTGGCCGTGCTTGTGCTGACAGTCGCCTGGCTCGCCCTGACCGGCCTGAAGGTCGCCGAGTACATGAGTGAGCCGACCGCCACCAGAAACGTGTGGAAGAAAGTCATCTACCTGCCGCCGTTCACCGTGTGCCCTGCCTTGCGCTTGCCATACGTGCTGGATGCTAACGTCACGGACGCTGTCGGCGAGGGCGCCACGCTGGAGGATTTCTATGACCAACTGGGACTGGACCCACTGGACTTTCTCGCGGGGCTAAGCGCATCGCAAGGGCGCTCCTATGAGTCATGCGACTCAGGGGGAGACTGCGTTAACTTTACGAAATCGTTTGATTATGATGTCGGAGGGATGTGTCTCACCTCAAAGGCTGCATCATCTGGCTTTCATTTTAATTTGGTCCACAATTTAGCTTACGCATATGGTATTTCCGACTATATATTGACTTTCGACATCATACTTCATGGTCAGCCTGATTTCTACGGAGCTGCCTTCGCAGACGAAACTATCCTCTACTTATCGTCCGTTCAGAGAGGGATAAAGGTATCCATAAGAACTGACCGAAGAATCGAAGCAAATCTGAAACGGGATCCTTGCAATGACAATCCAACATACAGCAAACGGCTATGTGAGCGCCAATGTTACTTCAACTGGCTAAACTGCAGTGTCCTCGACGCAGTCGACCTCAGCAAGCCGCGCTGTCTGGCCGCCGATGGTTTATGGATTCAGCTACTGGATCCTCTGTCGAAATTCGCCGAAGCTGCGGATGGTATCGACGCCTGCCAGTGTCCGAAAGAGTGTGTGACTGACACAATCCATATTTCCATAGAACCAGACTACTACGTGGAGGAACATGACAACATCACTAGCATTTCTCTACTCCCGTCTACGACGATGAACATCCTTGAGACCTACGTCACATACACCTTCTCCGATTTGATGGCGGACATGGGCGGCTTCCTGGGCCTGCTGCTAGGCTCGTCGCTCCTCTCCGTGTGCCAGCTGCTTCCTCAGATGACCAAGTGGGCGTGCACCAAGTGCCGCGGTGAGCGCCAAGACCCCGAACATGGCTTGGCGCTGAACTCCAAGAAGGACCGCGTCGCCACTCAGGCGCTCCCTGCGCCGACCGATCGTCGCCGAGGTGATATTGTGGTGTGCATCTCGCCGAGAGTGGACGGAGCCAGTGAGCCAGTCAAGTACTAATATGTGTACACTGCACAGTCTCTCTTTAAAGGTAGTGTGCCACCTTCGAATGATTTCCCATTTTATTTTTCCTAGGATAAGAAGCGTCTGTTTTTACCTAATATCGCAAAAAAAATCAAAAATGGGCCTAAAATAGTGCTTTTTTCGCCTAAAAGTTTATCAGTTTTTCGATATGTATAACAACTGTAGTGGGCTGACCTGCAAACAGGCGTCGGCAACAATCACGAATGCGGCGCACATGTGACAATAAGCAAAGGTCATTATAGAGTTACGACGTACGGGAATGAGTTATCAGCTGTCTAATCGTGGACAACACAATGTCGAATTTAAACTGTAAGCCTGTATTGGTATTGTTTCTTTAATTTGGCCGTCGAATATCAATTTATGGTTTGAAATATTATTTTATGTAAAATAATTGATATGAAACAGCCGTCTCTAAAGTTATGACCCAATCTCACCACATGAAAGTGGCAGAAATGACAATGATCAGCTGACGCATTTTTCTTGGCCGAAGTCAGAGCGCGCGGCCCGATGCACCACCACCGCACCACAAAGTATGAGCAGAAGCCGCGCCCAAAGTCAGGGCCCCGGTAACGTGAGGTAGCCGAGTCGGGGCAGCGTGTGCTGACCCAAGCCGTGGCCGCGGCTTTGGGCGCGGTCTACCGCATCCCCGCGGGCAGCCCCAGGCTATCACATGACACCGGGAGGACGCACGGCCCCGGCTTGGGTCAGCGCACGCTGCCCCGACTCGGCTACCTCACGTTACCGGGGCCCTGGCTTTGGGCGCGGTCTACCGCACCACCTAACAGGCGTGTTCGAAACCGCAGGAGATGATGATGAACGGGTTTATCGAAACTTGATTGGATGAGCCTATCGGTAATGGCGATTTCAGTGTGTGCATTTATTGTTCATAGTGGTGTGAAATGTGGTTGGGGTACGACCGACAACCCGTCGGGGCGAATTTCGCACTGGGGTACTCAAAATTTGAAGAATTTAAGACGTTTCCATGAGTTTTGAAGGTATGGATAAGTTCTAAAAATCCGGTTCTCGTTATCTGGGCCATTAACTCCATACGGTCCAGGAAAGTTGGCACACTACCTTTAAAGTACCGCGCCAGGGTGCGGCGGTGCCATCAAGCCCGGCAGACGGAGCGCTGCTTATGTTGAAAGTCACCGAATCATTTGACTAGGTGTTGGATGAGGATGTTGGAGCAGAAGGTCTCCTTCTCCAGGAAGGAGAGGGCCAAGCCGAGTTTGTTCGCTGGGTCACTGGCCCACTTCCCTTCTCCGTGTATCGGTACTTTCAACAGAGACTCCTCAGCATGCACATGATCTCCCTAATTACCGCTTGCATTCACATTTATAGATTAGCACGGTGCAAAAGTAATTTCGGCAGTTGACAGAATGTCATTGGGTGCGTATTATTAAGGCCAGGGTTCATAATGTCCAGGGCACGATGTGTCCAGTGTTCGTTCGATATGGCCAGTGCCTTGAATTGGCCAGTGCTCATATTGTCCAGGGATTACATGGTCCAAATGTGGCCAACTCGCTGCAGATAGCGTAAATTCAAAGAGACCAGGGTTCATAATGTCCAGGGCACGATGTGTCCAGTGCTGGAAATGTTCAGACTCCAGGGTTCATAATGTCTAGGGCACGATGTGTCCAGTGTTCTAAATGGCCAGGGTTCATAATGTCCAGGGCACGATGTGTCCAGTGTTCAAAATGGCCAGTGCATTGAATGGGCCAGAGTTCATAGTGTGTTACATTAACATAGTCCACCCAACCCAACCAAACCTAACCTAACCTAACCTAACCTAACCTAACCTAACCTAATTTAATGATGTTTGCCTACCAGGGATAAGGAAATAGTTTCTCGCATGAATAGATTGCAAGCAATAGTAAATCAAATATTTTTAGGTTAAGCGGTTATGCATCAGGCTTCAGGACGAACAGATACATAACCACTTCAGGCGTTCGGCCTGAAGCCAGATACATAACCACTTATCCTAAAAATACGAGGGGGCATCGAAAAGTTCTGATCATCACCATGAATTAGATGCGATAGAAATTTGATTTTTTTTACATGATGTTCATTACTCCTTCACAAGTCACCACACACGACCGCAAACTTATTGCATCGTTTCTTGAGCTGCCTCAGGCGATCATTGTAGGACCTTCGCATTGTCCCGTAAATCACTGCTCCACCTCATCAATGACGTCATTTCTGGCCTTTAATCACCGGCCATACTGTGGATTCTTCATCTCCTGTAACAATCAAGAGTCAATTAATACCCGGTCAGGTGAATTTCTTAGCTGCGGTAGGATTTAATGTCCACATCATGTTGATTCTTAAATCGCAGCTCAGGACGAATGGGCGGGGGCGCTGTCGGTGCGGATAAAACATCTTTCTTGGGTTTTTTTTGCGGCGATTCTGCTTGAGGCCATCTCGCAACTTCTTCAAAAGTGTGCAGTAGTGCTTGCTTATCATTATCCGACCATTATCAAGACAGTCAGTAATGACTATCCTACGCCAGATCCAGAACACTGATAGCATTGACCTTCTATGTCGGCTTCTGCATCCTCGCTTTTAAGGACAGATGTGCCGTGCTTTAACCCTCGCCGGACCTATTGGTTTTCTACCTCGCCGTTTCGCCCCTGGTGGAGCTAGCGCGTCGCAGAAAAAACGAGCGTGTGCGCCGTTACGAGACACAGAGCTTGGTACCCGATTTTAAGGTCCTAGGTCAACCGGTGACCTCTGAGGTCAGGTCAAGTGCCCCAAGGTACGGTTCAGTTTTTGGTGAATAACTTCGCAAAAAACGGCCGCAGAGCGCCGATTTTGGCAGCATCGTGCTCGCCTCGCTCAGGCGCGTCGAATGGTATACTTCTTGTCCGGGTCAGGTCAACTTGGGGTGTTGACCTAAGGTCAAGGTCAGGTCAGCACCCCCAGGTCACGAAGTTGGTTGAAAGAGGTCATGTTGCATATCATTCGATTCGGCAGGTCTTCCTGAGTCCATTGGTGGCTTTCCAGACTCGCTAGCTCAATTTGATCAAGAGTTATTGACAAAAACTAATATGACCTTGATGACGTCATAAATGACGTCACGCAAGGTCAACATTGCAAAAGTGACGCATCTAACCTTGCAAGGAGTGCATCAAATCACGATTCTGTGTGCTTGAGATAGTTGGAGATCGTTCCCGGCGCCAGAATAGCAGTTTTCATTTTTCCCCATTAACTTATAATGGTGAGGTCACGAAAATGACCTGACCTCATATGAACTTTAGGAAAAATCCGAGATATACAAGTCGTGACACTCATAATGGATACTAGATCCTGCAAGTTTCATTTCCCTGTGACATCTCCTCTGGCAGTGAGGGCGTTGCGAAGTTGCGACATCTGAAGACCGTGCAGAGGTTCACTTATGACGTCATAGGTCAGTGACCTGACCTGACCCAAAAATGCGGTTGGTGTCAAAAGATCCGGCTTGAATCAAAGGTCAGGTATGCCAAGTTTTAGCTCTTTATCGCCAGCGTGCTCGGAGCTATCGCGAAAAAAACCCTATGGGGGCGGCACCCGCCCCCCCCTCGGCCGGCGAGGGTTAACTTCTTGATCATCTGTTCGTCTCTGGATCACACACAATACACATAGACCCAGCATTCGTCACAAGTTATCAAACGATCGAAGATGTCTTCAATTTCCTAAAACAGCCTAGTTTTCGTTTCGAAAGGCCAAGACGCATTTTTCTCTTGAACAAAGTAGACACACGAACTTCTAAGCGGGCTGACTCCTTCATCGTCTGTACGAGTTCTCGTAGTTCTTCGCTGATAATATCTTCAGGCACTGCCAGCATCAAGACCTTTCTGTTGCACAATCATCTGAAAGGTCACACGACGATCTGTAAGGATGAGGTCCTCCACTTCCTTCACAGTTATCACCTTGTCAGTCACTGGTAGTCATTCACTTCTTGACTCCCCTGAAAGGGCCATGCAACCAACTTGAAAATTATTTCTTCATTTTCGGTAAGTGCATGAGATGGGCTTTCCTCGCCATAAACTATTTCACGTTCTTGATGTATTTTCTCAGTGTGATACCGTTTCAAATGTATTAGTTAGGTGACGGTTCGGTCCTCAATGGGCCCAATACTCATCTTTTTTTACTTCTTAGTCTCTCCTACATAAGATAAAACCACTTTTCAGGATTTTCTTTGCGGGAACATTGTTCTTGAGAACCAAATAAAATACCTACCAAAAATCATCCAAATCGGCCTATATCTTCTATGTGATGATCAGAACTTTTCGATACCCCCTCGTATTTGATTTAACATTGCCTGTAATCTCTCCTAAGGCATAGCCTTCGGCACTGCACTGCTTCGCAATGAGCTGGTTCCGCGTTTTTTTTTCATAATGACGTCACTTTCAGTGACTATGTAATCCCTGGATATTATAAACTCTGGCCCATTCAAGGCACTGGCCATTTTGAACACTGGACACATCGCGCCCTGGACATTATGAACCCTGACAATTTCAAATGCTTGGCACATCGTGCCCTGGGCATTATGAACCATGGGCTCTTTGAATATACCCTATCTGCAGCCAGTTGGCCGGATTTGGACCATGCAATCCCTGGACATTATGAACTCTGGCCCATTCCAGGCACTGGCCATTTCGACACCGTGCATAACGTACCCTGGACATTATGAACCATGGCAAGAATGAACGCTCCCAATGTCATTGTTTTTGAAGCCCAAACAAAGTTGCCTTCGGACAAAATTACGAAGTCACTGGCTTGTCCGTGAACACTTTATAGATAAAAACTCTTTTTATGCGAAGGCTTATTATGTAACGGAGGACAATCAGACATCAGTGATTGACAGACTATTGATGTAAGACAAAAGCTTGACCAGGAATCAGCTATAGGTATCCGTTTGATTGGTATGCACGGCTTCCTCTTATCATTTTAAACACTTGTAAACTCTTTATTTGTCGACTTGTACGACTGTACGTCTAAAGCTCACGCATGCACGGCGGTCCGATAGTTGAGTTTTTTATTTCAATGGTTATCACGAAAAACTGTAAGTCTAATCTTTGATCGAAATGGATCCCTCAAATGAGAATGGACTTGGGATCTATGATTTCGTATGATGTGGTGATCCTGTGTACGCGATGATGATACGCAACTACTATTGTGAGTACTTTACTTGTGAAGTTTAGTTATATTAGATCTCTAATAAATCCATTCAAAGATTCATCTTTGTCAGCATATCTTAGCATACCATGATCCTTAAGATCATATCTCGCTTCTATTTTTCCAGATTCATGTAGGTATCAGTCACGTTGCACATTGCACATTGCCCATCTCTGCGATTCATAAGAATGTTCTCAGCACATGAAATGCAGTACCTGGATCACATAAATATATATTTTGTACACCAATTGCTACAATAATAATTGCAAAACCCACTTGTGACGATGATTAGCCCCTGCAGGTGCGGGACCTTAATCAGTTTGGGCGTGTGGCCTTGAAAAGGTCGGGTAATTAACCTCGATCAGCTCTGGTATTTACATAATTATTTGACTTTATTGAACAGCTCAAGTGTTTTACCAGAGACATTGAGCATTTCGGGTAGTTGACCTCAGTCGGCGCCTGAGCCGCGGCCAGGTCGATTTTCGGCTCTGTCCCAGCCGTCGCTGGCACGGCGTGGTACCGCCCACCGCATCGGCACAGTGTGCCTTTCAATCTATTGTCCGACCCCATTCCCCGAAAGCCACCACTATCGATCCGGTGTGCCAGCCGGCAGCCACTCGACTGGTGTCACGCGTGCTGTTCGTGGCATGGCCAGGGTGCCGACAGGCGAGCTAAATTAGTCGGGCCATCGCACGCAACAGTAAAGGGGCGCAGTTTTCCCTGGTGCTTTGGTCCAATAGTAGGCGTAAACATAAATTGATTGATTATATTGCGTCACAAGGCTATGCATTGAGCAGACAAATTTAGGGCAGGTGGCTTCGAAGAGCAATCAGGTAGGTGTTGTGCTTCGGGTTGTGTTCACAAAGAGACAAGCTAGCAGAGAAGAACGAGAAAGAGGAAGCAGCCGCGTCAGGCCGCATGGCGACAATCAGCTGTCAGCGGTCGGGGACAGGAGATCTGTTCCGATCGACGAACCAACAGACCCGCGGCGAACACAGCAGGCACAGTTTTTAAAGGAGGACACAGCGGACCCGAGACCACCAATGAAAACGCCAGGCGACAGGTGGGTTCACTGCTAATGACTTATTTGTTCTGTGATTTACTTAACCCTCGCCGGACCTATTGGCTTTCTACATACGCGCCGGCCGAGGGGGAGGGGGGGGGGGGGGTACGAACCCCCTTCGCCGTTTCGCCCCTGGTGGAGCTACCGCGTCGCAGAAAAAACGAGCGTGTGCGCCGTTACGAGACGCAGAGATTGGTACCCGATTTTAAGGTCCTAGGCCAACCGGTGCCCTCTGAGGTCAGGTCAAGTGCCCCAGGGTACGGTTCAGTTTTTGGTGAATAACTTCGCAAAAAAACGGCCGCAGAGCCGCGATTTTGGCAGCATCGTGTTCATCTCGCTCAGGCGCGTCGAATGATACACTTTTTGTCTGGGTCAGGTCAACTTGGGGTGTTGACCTCAGGTCAAGGTCAGGTCAGCACCCCCAGGTCACGAAGTTGGTCGAAAGAGGTCATGTCGCATATCATTCGATTCGGCAGGTCTTCCTGAGCCCATTGGTGGCTTTCCCGACTCGCTAGCTCAATTTGATCAAGAGTTATTGACGAAAAACTAATATGACCTTGATGACGTCATAAATGACGTCACGCAAGGTCAAAATTGCCAAAGTGACGCATCTAACCTTGCAAGGAGTGCATCAAATTACGATTCTGTGTGCTTGAGATAGTTGGGGATCGTTGCCGGCGCCAGAATAGCAGTTTTCATTTTCCCCATTGACTTATAATGGTGAGGTCACGAAAATGACCTGACCTCATATGACCTTTAGGAAAAATCCGAGATATACAAGTTGTGAGACTCATGATGGTTACTAGATCCTGCAAGTTTCATTTCCTTGTGACATCTCCTCTGGCAGTGAGGGCGTTCGAAGTTGCGACATCGGAAGACCGTGCAGAGGTTCACTTATGACGTCATAGGTCAGTGATCTGACCTGACCCAAAAATGCGGATGGTGTCAAAAGATCCGGCTTGAATCAAAGGTCAGGTATGCCAAGTTTCAGCTCTCTATCGCCAGTGTGTTCGGAGCTATTGCGAAAAAAATCCCTATGGGGGGGGGGCGGCACCCGCCCCCCCCCTCGGCCGGCGAGGGTTAAAGTTTGTAGGTGGTAGATCAACTATTACTTATTACAACGAGCTAAACAAATAATAAATATGTAACTCTTGAGCAATCGTTGAAATCCCACAAAAAAGGAAAAATGATTTTGACGTGCATATCTCGTATGCACGTTGACTATTTATTTCAGATGTGTTCCGGCATGCCAAGTTGATGAGACTATTGCAAAAGGTTATCCGTTATCTACTGCCCATCATCAGCAATGACTTCAGGCAATGAACGAGGTTAGTAAGCATTGTCATACAGCATATCCTCCATTCCACAGCATTATCAAGTGTGGCGTGCTCCGTAAATGCAGTATAGGTACCTCCTCATTCTTAGCTTCATTCGATAGGTAGTAATAAGTCAGGGTTTCATTGCTCCAAAACCATCTACTATTACTATCCTAGTCAGCATACGTGATGAGGGTGAATGTGTGAATGATTGCGGTGACTGTTGTCATATCCCATTCGATTTGTATATGTACAGTCTGTCTTAAAAGTACCGCGCAAAGTGACGGTGGATCCGTCGAGCCTGGCTGAGGAAGGGCCTGCTACATTTGGGTCACCGAAGCAATTGACATCCTCGTCCATTCCCTAGGTCAATTGGTCGGTGACTTTCAAATTAAAGCAGGCCCTTTCTCCGTCAGGCTTGATGGATTCACCGTCACTTTGCGCGGTACTTTAAGAAAGACTGTACAACGACTTGGACATAGAATAGCCGTGTTTCCGCGGACATGTTTGTAATGTGAAATAAATAAATAAATAAATAAATAAATAAATCTACCATAGGTGGTGCTATGCGTGTCACTGCATGCGATTTACATCCACAACGAGCGCTGCCTTGATTGGAACGATCGGTCGTGCTGCGTACATTGAGTATGTTCAAACGAAATTTATCTAGGAGCGTTCATTTAAATCCAAATTCTCAATCATTGATCATAACCTAGATGGACTTATGCACTAGAGACATAGATCAACTGAGCGTTCAAGTTCAACAGCGTTTATTTTGAATGACAGTGTCTCAAGGCATTAGTGAAAACTTATGCCATGAAAAAAAAAAACGATTAGTTACTCACCCAGTTATGAAAATGAAAACGTTCCCGGAGGGTCCTCCGCGAAAAAAGCTCGACCACGCTAATTGAAATTTCGAACTGCGAAGTTCCAGTGCAATGATTACCATAGTTGATAAGATAGTTATTACCTTGGTTATTACGAGCGAGCGAGCGCAGCGAGCGAAGTGAGTCTTTTTACGAGCGAGCGAGCGCAGCGAGCGAAGCGAAGTCTTTTCAATACTTTTCAATACGTTTTACTGGTTACCAGTAAAACGCCTTTTGGGCGAAGAACGAGCGAGCGAGATAGTGAGCCCTGCACGTGCGGAAGGGCGAGAGGGTGCTTCCAACGGGCTTGCGCAAAGCACCCTTCTAACTGGTCGCTAGCGGTGTGCCAAATTTGAACGCAATCGGCCCAGCCGTTCCTGAGATCTGGAAGCGGCATTCTGCACGTGCGCACGTGCAAACGGGGTCTAAGCTGACTTTTGCACGGCACCCTACTAACTGGTCCCCAACCGTGTACCAAATTTGAGCGCAATCGACCCAGCCGTTCTCGAGATCTAGAAACGCCCCCTGCACGTGCGCACGTGCAGTAGCACCCTAACCGCAACACATGGGAATGCATTGCCTGGTGGGTGCCTACATGTATGCCAAGTTTCAGCGAAATCGCCCCAGTAATTACCGAGTAACTGAAATGGGAACAAATTTGGCACCTCTTATTGCTGTATTTTGCACGTGCACTGGGGGTGACCCACATGCATCGAAAGTATCCTATTTTGGGTAGAAGGGAGGCTGCTACCCTATAAAAATTACCGCAAGTCAATCGCCCAAGCGGCTGCTGAGATATGAGCCTCTCAAAATCACTACTTTTGCAAAACAGCACGTGCCACGTGCCACGACAGTCACTAAGATGTATCACAAGTAGTCAATTACGGGGTAGAAGGGATGGGGCTACCCAACAAAAAAGACCGCAGGCCAATCGGTCCAACGGTTGCTGAGATATAAGCCTCTCAAAAGCGTTACAGGCCGGGCCGGGCCGGGCCGGGCCGGGCCGGGCCGGGCCGGGCCGCTCATACTGAGATTTTTCCGTTATTACGAGCGAGCGAGCGCAGCGAGCGAAGTGAGTCTTTTCAATATAACGGAAAAATCTCAGTTATTACGAGCGAGCGAGCGCAGCGAGCGAAGTGAGTCTTTTCAATATAACGGAAAAATCTCAGTATGAGTGGCCCGGCCCCGCCCGGCCCGGCCCGGCCTGTAACGCTTTTGAGAGGCTTATATCTCAGCAACCGCTGGACCGATTGGCCTGCGGTCTTTTTTGCTGGGTAGCCCCATCCCTTCTACCCCGTAATTGACTACTTTTGATACATCTCAGTGACCGTCGTGGCACGTGCCACGTGAAAAGTCGAGGGTGTTCAAGCTGTTTTGCAAAAGTAGTGATTTTGAGAGGCTCATATCTCAGCAGCCGCTTGGGCGATGTCTTGCGGTAATTTTTGTAGGGTAGCTGCATCCCTTCTACCAAAAATAGGATACTCTCGATGCATGTGGGTCACCCCCAGTGCACGTGCAAAATACAACAATAAGAGGTGTCAAATTTGTTCCCATTTTAATAACTCGGTAATTACTGGGGCGATTTCGCTGAAACTTGGCATACAGGTAGGCACCCACCAGGCAATGCATTCCCACGTGTTGCGGCTTGGGTGCTACTGCACGTGCGCACGTGCAGGGGGCGTTTCCAGATCTCGAAAACGGCTGGGCCGATTGCGCTCAAATTTGGTACACGGCTGGGGACCAGTTAGTAGGGTGCCGTGCAAAAGTCATTTTGGACCCCGTTTGCACGTGCGCACGTGCAGAATGCCGCTTCCAGATCTCAGGAACGGCTGGGCCGATTGCGTTCAAATTTGGCACACCGCTAGCGACCGGTTAGAAGGGTGTTTTGCACAAGCCTGTTGAAAGTACCCTCTCGCCCTTCTGCACGTGCAGGGCTTACTATCTCGCTCGCTCGTCCTTCGCCCAAAAGGCGTTTTACTGGTATTGAAAAGACTCACTTCGCTCGCTGCGCTCGCTCGCTCGTAACCACTGATAAGTCGATATTCATTTGCATTCTTTTAACTTCATGCATCACTAGTGACGCTGGCAAATGACACTGAGGTCATTTGCTTTGGTGGTAACCGCAACATCTCGTACTTTACGCATAACGGCAAACGTCAAGGCTAGGCCATGTTAATGATAAATTTTCACATGTTTTGTCTGACTCAATGCAAGGGAGCCGTAGTGTACTCGTAACTAGCAGTTTTCTGTCTGCAAAAACATCGTGTTATTGTTATGTGTCGTTTACTTTATAATAATTTCCCCGGGGTCGGAGCGACCGAGCTGTTTTTTACGTTCAGGTGTAATAGGCCATCAGGGGTAGCACCGTGTGTGCTGGTCAGGCACTATTGGGACATCGACGCCTACATTGACGCCTACTGGGTATTATGGCTAATCCGAATAACGCGTTTACTTTAGAGATGTCAATCGAATACCAACTTTTTGGTATACCGATACCAAACCGATACCAACTTGGTATTTGGTATTTAAATCGTAATATGTTTTGTATTTTGTTGGTTTCATGAACCCACAGTAATGTATAAAAGGCTAAGAAATCGGTAAAAAAGTTGGTATTTCCCTCATTTTCGCAAGTTGTTTGGTTTCGGTATTTCCCCGTGGCTTTGGTTGGTATTTGGTTTGGTATCGGTATTCCGATTTTCCATAATTGACATTACTAGTTTACCTACTTCCAAACACCTTGCAGTCGTAAATGAAACCAAACCTAACCAGTTTCGATTACTGACATTTTTTAAACCCGCGCCCCGTTGGGCTCTGCCGAGCAACGCGCCCCGTTGGGGGGGGGGGGCATTTTGGCCCCCCCCCCTAAGATCTCGAGAACCACGCAACCTAGCGACAAGCGGCAAACGGTGTTGCATAGCCCTATCAGGGAACTACCTTGTGACCCAATTTTATTGACCTAGGTCAAACCGATGACGTCACAGGTCAGGTCAAAGGTCCAATTTTCACCGTTTACAGGCATTTCAAGAAATGCGTTGTAAAATCTAGTAAAATGCATTTCATTGAAAATCATCGATGGGGAAATGGTCTTCAAACACATATTTTGCTATTTGAGGTCACTGATACCAGGTCAGCTCACAGGGGTCAGGTCACTGAGGTGTCACAATATGAAAGTGTCGTGTGATACATGTTTTATGGTCCATTTTACATGACAAATGCGATTATGTGGGTCAGGCAGCCTTTTGGGCCAGCTTAGGTCACGTTTTGGTCAAGGTCAGGTCAAGGTCAGGTCAAATTAGGTCAAATTTCAAAGTTGATATTTTTGCATAAAATGGGCATCGAATCGATGCAGCTCGTCACGGGGAGTTCAATGGTGGTCTTTGTTTTGCCGTACGTGGTCTAGAAGCGCTAAAAATTGAGTTCAAAAATTTGACGTCATCATTTTTGAACAGTTTTTTCGCTATAACTTGGCCAAAAAACGAGATACCGATCTGAAATTTGGTATGTATATAGAAGAGCGCACGGACTATCATATATATTCCGTTTTTTCGAAATTCGGAAAATTTTGGATTTTTTAAAGTTTTTCTAAAAAAATCAATTATTTGAATTTTTGGGGGTCAAAAACCCATAATTTTGAAAATCCAAGATAGCAGATTTGTAGCGCCGCTTTTTGTCTACTAGACCATATAAAGAACTTTGAAATTGTTTGATAACTGTAGATTTAGTGAGCGTTTAAAGATTGCATGTTTTTTGCTCATTTTTGCTCGAACATGACCTCAGTTTGACCTTAATAACTCCTGACCTAAGGTGACCTAAGACTTTTGTGTGAAATTTTGTGTGAAGGTGTCAAATTGATGCCAGGGAAGGTACTGAAAATTTGGCGGCGCTGCGCGCCGACGTTTTCTTGCTATTCAGGAAAAACCACAGGGGGGGGGCAAAATGCCCCCCCCAACGGGGCGAGGGTTAACCTTCGCCCCAGTGCAGTGGGGGGGGGGCATATGTCACCACCCTGTCGCGTTTTTTGCGTGTGAATAAAAACCGCGGCGCGTAGCGCCGCGCCGCTTGAGGTGACTTTTGGTACATCAATTTTGGACAATTTTTGAAATTTTTGACCCCAGGTCATGTCAGGTCAGGTCACCAGGTCAAGTTAACTGACCAAGCCTAAAAAAGTTTGCAATCATGTCCAGCCTGCAGTGTTTGTCAGAAAGGTTTAAAACTTGGTGGATTGCATGCTGTTATGGGCGCCTACAATTTGTATATCTCGGACTTTTTATATCCGTGACCTAAGGTCAGGTCAGTGGCGTGACCTTTCCATTACAAGTCATGAAGAAAAATGAAAATGCCTCTAGATCCGTGTGTACGCATAGGAACAGTCCAAATATTTCAGAATCACAATTATTTGGACCACCCGTGATGACCAAGGTGTCATTTTTGCTGATAGCCTCTAGAAAGGTCATCCGAGGTCATTTGAGGCTACAAACATATTTTTGCCAATAACTCGCGATTGGAAAGAGATAGAACGCTGGGGATGGTCTCATTGTGTTTTTCTTGTTGAGACGCATCGACTAATATGCAACATGACCTTTTCCGGTCAGGTCGTGACCTTGACCTGAGGTCAAATTTTTAAGTTGACCTTTTAAGGTCAAATTATAGGTCATTCGACGCGTCTCGGCGAGAGGAACACGATTCTGGCAATATAAAAGTCGTGGCATTTATTAGTTGAAAGTTATTGTCGAAAAACACTTTTCGTAAAAAACAGCTGTTTTTGGAGTTTTTGCCCTCTGGAGGCTAAACCGTTGACCAGAGGTCAATTTTGATAATGACCTTATCAAAAGAAGATTTCAAAAGCTATTGATTGCTATTCCATGCGTTTTTTTAGCTACCATAGTTTCTGAGATAACGGCATGTTTTCTGAAAAATATAATGACAATTGGCAAATTTTGACCTTTGATGACCTCTGGTGACCCCATTATTGCTCTAAGATGAAAAATGACTGAAATACTTTCAAACGTACGCATTGAGAGCTATCGACTGCTTTTTACCGCGTCTTTCTAGCCCTCTTAGTTTTTGAGTTAGAGGTGGGTGGTAACATATGCCCCCCCCCCCCCCACTAGGGCGAAGTTGGCTGAGACCGCCACTGGAGCGCGGGTTAACATGCATCAGACCACGCCATTCGGATCTCCGCTCGCCGCTGGTAGTGACCGTGCAATAGAGGCAGCGCCCACCCCCCCCCCGGAGGAGGGGGGCGCCAGCTGACGATCTATTTCCGCCGCGCACCTTCTGAGCGCCGAGAGAAGGTATTTCTGTCTGCGCCCAACCCTCTCCGTCAGAGGGCACCGGCACTGGACAGAGAGGGTGTGGGGAGCGGCGCGGTGTACCTCTGTCTGCCGGCACTGGACAGAGAGCGGTGTGGGGAGCGGCGCGGTGTACCTCTGTCTGCCGGCGCTGCAGACAGAGAGCGGTGTGTGGAGCGGCGCGGTGTACCTCTGTCTGCCGGCGCTGGACAGAGAGCGGTGTGGGGAGCGGCGCGGTGTACCTCTGTCTGCCGGCGCTGCAGACAGAGAGCGGTGTGGGGAGCGGCGCGGTGTACCTCTGTCTGCCGGCGCTGGACAGAGAGGGTGTGGGGAGCGGCGCGGTGTACCTCTGTCTGCCGGCGCTGCAGACAGAGAGCGGTGTGGGGAGCGGCGCGGTGTACCTCTGTCTGCCGGCACTGGACAGAGAGGGTGTGGGGAGCGGCGCGGTGTACAGTCTGTCTTAAAAGTACCGCGCAAAGTGACGGTGGATCCATCAAGCCTGACGGAGAAAGGGCCTGCTTTAATTTGAAAGTCACCGACCAACTGACCTAGGGAATGGACGAGGATGTCAACTGCTTCGGTGACCCAAATTTAGCAGGCCCTTCCTCAGTCAGGCTCGATGGATCCACCGTCACTTTGCGCGGTACTTTTAAGACAGACTGTACCTGTCTGCCGGCGCTGCAGACAGAGAGCGGTGTGGGGAGCGGCGCGGTGTACCTCTGTCTGCCGGCGCTGGACAGAGAGCGGTGTGGGGAGCGGCGCGGTGTACCTCTGTCTGCCGGCGCTGCAGACAGAGAGCGGTGTGGGGAGCGGCGCGGTGTACCTCTGTCTGCCGGCGCTGGACAGAGAGGGTGTGGGGAGCGGCGCGGTGTACCTCTGTCTGCCGGCGCTGCAGACAGAGAGCGGTGTGCAGACGCCGGCGGTGATCGCGTGTCGGGTGACGGCACTGTGGTGCTCTGGTGTCCGGTGTACGGCCGTAGTGCTGGTTACTGGTGTGGTGCAGCGTGACCGCTACCATGGCAACTCCTTATGGGGACGGTGGTGCTGCGAAATGCACCACTGACTCGTCAAAGTCAAAGTGTGTCAAAACTAATCAGTGGTGCCTCGAACTGGCCTCGGACGGCGACACCTGCGCCGCACCAGGTATGCATAATATAGCAACTATACCAGCCAAAGCTGACGCGTGAAACGACCACAATACTTTATCAGCTTCATCATTGTAGTTAAAATACCCCTCGTGCCTCCATTAATTGCCTATACCTACAGGTGCATTGCCTTGAATTATAGTTGAATGATTTGCCCTCATTGGGACTACTAGATATAGCTTGCTATTTTCTTTTTCAAATTTCACTCCAGTATACTATTGTACCAGCCACCAGGTATGGCTGCCAATAAGCAGTGCTGTAAAACAAAGTTAACAAAGTTTTTTTTACAAATTTTACGAAGTTTTGCTGTAAAACGAAGTTCCGTAACAAGACCTGTACTAACAACACTACAAATGAACTAATTGTTGCTTCCGCTGGCAAAAACTAGATGGCAACTAATTTTCGCTCACCTCCTGACCGCATTTCCTGCAGCCGAGGAGGTATTTCGGAGGATGCTGATGCGGGAGGTAGAGGACACAGGGACGGACCTCCCAAACCGCCCTGACAGTCAGTGCCTAGTTCGAGTCTGGTTCCTAAATGTTGCACTGGACTCGGCATGGCCAGGTCGCACTGAACACATCACTGAAGACAGTCGAATGCACAGCGCAAATTGGAGCATGCATGGAGATGAAAGATGATAAGTTGTTTCCATCATGTTTTGAAACTCGAAGCACTGATCACAAAGCAAAACAGTGCTCGCATAGTGCAATGCTATTTCAAACTGCAGTTTAGTTTGGCAAAAACGCTGAGTAAAATACCAGTGGAGCATATTCTGTAGAATTTGCACCTGGTTGCAACGTGCATGTTCTATGTCCCTTGCCTTCACTATTGACAGGGTAAATACAATGTACTAATTTTGAACATGGCCTAATTCGCCACATTTCCCGTTGCTATAGGTAAGCACGAAACTCAATGCATGAGCCACGTTACACTCGCACCCATCAAGCGCAAACAATGTTGTGGATATCAACTGAGCGTGTCTTTGAGCGCTGTACACGGCCGTATATGTACGGGCCGTATATATCCGTATCACGTTCCGTCCACAGCCGCAGAGTCGACACTGGACCTGCTTCGACACAGTTTGGAGGCCGAGCGAGGGCTAGGAGTCAGCGCTCCACACGTGTTTGTCATCATGGGAGCGTCGGTAAGAATTGCGAAGAGCTGCCACCGGTTTGTGTGGTGGAGTGAGGTTAACATTAACCCGCGAATGACTGGGGTATTTTCCATAACGCGAGTGACTGAGGTGGCTCTCCAGAGCCCCCCCCCCCCTCCTATCTCCGACACTACTGGGCCGATCGTCAAAATTCAAACGGCGTCTGATAGCCTTGGAAAAACTGTCGAGCGAAACCTATTTTCATTGACCTCGAGGTCACCGATGACGTCACAGGTCAGGTCAAAGTAAAAAGTATAGGTGTTTTTGCTTGTTTACAATTTAGGCTCTGGCCGCCGGCTGACAAGTCCGATCAGGCTCATTTTTGATTTACGCACTCCTTGATATACGCCTTAGATACCCTGGGGGTAACAAACTTTTAATTCGAATTTTTCAGGCTAAGGCCAGGTCATCCTAGGTCACGAAAATTGTATATCATGTATCGGTCACGTGACGCATGTTTTATGGTCCATTTTACACGTTGATTTCGAAAATAATGTCGTCTGTGTCATTTGAGGTAATTTTCAGCTGCATTTACCGGAGGTCAGGTCAATTTCAGGTCAGAAAAGGTCAAATTTTAGAAATAAATTTTTCAACAAAAAGGTGCCTATCAGATGCAGTTTGAGCTAAGGAACACGATGGTGTCATTTTTATTGCTGTACGATGTCAAAAACGTACTGAAAAATACTTTGGAAAATAATTGTAAAATTTTGACAATAATGCGAATAACTTGGCTATTTTTGAAGATATTGCGCTACAACTTGCTAGAGTAGTTCATCAGTGTGTGTTCCATCACAAATATTCCGTTTTTTTGCGAAAAAGCAAAAGCTTTTTGAAAAAAAATCAGAAAATATATTTTTTGTAATAATAGACATTTTTCAAAATTTTCAAAATTTCGAAAATTCGAGATAACAGTTCCATAGCTACGTGTATTTGTAGTCCACTGATGCAAAGAAATTGGATCTGGCTTAACCCTCGCCCGTACATGCCATTTTCCCATCCTAGAAACGCACATGGGGGGGGGGGGGGTGGTTGTCACCTCCGCGCAATTTCGTTCCTGTTGGAGATAGAACTTAGCGGTAAAGACCAAAAAGATTCTTTGGGAAAAGACAAATCCAATGATACCCAGTTTTACCTTCTCAAATCAGTCGTTGACCTTCCAGGTCAGGTCAAACTAAAAAATGTTGCTGTTTTGAGTCACCGTTGGATATCAAGTGCGCTGCTATCATATACCTACAGATGACGATGCCGTTTTCTGGTGCCAAGCCAGCTAGAACCTCTTTGTCACACTACCCGACCAGGTTTTTGCTGCTGAGGTCATTTCAGGTCAAGTTAGGTCAAGGTCAATGTAATGTGTTTGTATGTCTGTGTGTGTCTGTGTGTATACTGATTTGTGCACCGATTGTTTATGCGTCCATATTACATGAAGTCACGATCTGAGAAGCTTTTACCAAAAATGCAGCCAAAAAAACTTCACAAAAAGTAAATTCAGCTTGCCTAAAACGCAATTATCTTAGATGACCTAGGTTGACCTTGACCCTGACCTTGACATCTGTACATCGTCGAACAACATGTTCCATGATAGGTGGGAGGTAAGACTGGCAAAAAAGGCCGAAATCAAGGTGTCAAAAGCTCACAAGGCCCATAGCCAACGCAAGCTGCTGATAATTGGCCATTTGGGTCATGACATGACCTGAAAAACCAGGTCATATCTCCGAAACCAAAAATCACAGAAACTTGAAATGTTCAGTGGACATTAAGAATGGATAGAGAAGCAGCTATACGAAAAATCAGCCTTCTAGCTCTAAAAATGTTGAGTGCAGAGCAGAAAGAATACCTGAGGGGGGTGGCAACCCCCCCATGTGCGGGCGAGGGTTAAAAACTAAGCTCTTGAGAGCGTTTGCCGTAATTCAATATTTTGCATCAAAATCGGCCTACACGACGTCACTCTGACGTCATTTCCGGCAAAAATATGGTAGCATTTTAACACAAGGTGTCAAATTGATGTTGCTGAGGGCACTGCAAGCTTCGTGTTGATTCGTGAAACGGCTTAGAATATATTGCTGAAAAACGGGAGGGGGGCTTTGTAGAGCCCCCCACCCCCCAGTCATGCGCGGGTTAAGAGATATTGTTATAGCTATGCAAACTTACTTTTTATGTATGTTAAGTGCTGCTTGAGCTGGGTACAAAATGTGAAAAGAAAACTTCTTTCCAGGGTGATTTAGCCAAGAAGAAAATCTATCCTGCCATCTGGTGGCTTTTCCGAGATAAGCTGCTACCAGAAAACACAAGCATTGTTGGCTATGCGCGGTCAAAACTCGAGGTCAGCGACATCCGAGAGAAATGCGACAAATTCATGAAGGTGAGCCAGGCTTAGAAGTTCTGCAAGAAGTTATGCAGGTGTACAGACAGATTCATAAGTGGGTACGCAACATTAAACATAGTTTGGTTATTGCATGGCTGCTCAGACACAGGAACAACGTAAATGCGCGTTACAAACGGATTAGGGGACGATGCTCTACACATTACTCCCTTATTATGCGCATTTGTCCGATTACATATGCTCTTAATATCAACTGTCTGCATAAGAAACATTTATCTAGCTATAACTAGCTCACTAGCTATACTAGTGAGCGTTACTAGTTTTTTTTTATAACTAGTTACGTGTCGAAATGAGCAACGTCTCAAACTATCTTCCCCTGTGCCAGGTGCGCTCTGAAGACCGGGAGCGGTACGAGCAGTTCTGGTCTGTCAATCAGTACGTATCGGGCGCGTACGACGACCCTGCGGCGTTCGATGCGCTCAGTGAGGCCATCTCGGCGCTGGAAACAGAAGCCACCGGAAATCGTCTGTTCTACCTGGCGCTCCCGCCGTCCGTGTTTGGTGACGTCACCTGCGGCATAGCGCGCCACTGTATGGCCACAAAGTAAGCGATCCAGCATAAATTCCACCAAGGAGTGGGAGTAAAGTTTTTTGTTTACAACAGCTCCGATATTTTTAACACAAACGATGGTGCTAGGTGCCAGTTTAGGTAAAAGGTCACTCTCTGCCATATTTTTTGTTCATCTTTGTGCCTTATTGTCGAGACGGCCCCCCGAAAGAATGGCATGGTTTTGGGATGACAATGCAGCATACCGACTTACACATAGGCTGATCATTAGCAGTGACAATAGGCAATTGACAGTGTTCCCAAACGCGCGACTCTTTTTTCAATATCAAGTGTAGGTAGACACCTTCCTATAATAAACCGTCGAAATGCAATTCCTGCACTGATAACAGCGCTATTTCCTCGGCAGCCCCGGCTGGAGCCGTATCATTGTGGAGAAGCCATTCGGACGCGACGCGGCCAGCTCGGCCCAACTGTCTGCCCACCTCTCGTCTCTGTTTACCGAGTCACAGATCTACCGGATCGACCATTACCTGGGCAAGGAGATGGTGCAGAACCTGATGACCCTGAGGTGAGACTCGAAGACTAGTGATAATACTGGCTGAATTTCCAGCATTACATGCTTTACCGTGCGTTAAATGCTTTAAAACGCTATTAAAAAGTCAAAGCAATCATGCATGTGTTTCAAAAAGCTGTTAGGCCGGCATTAATTTGCAGAGAGCTGACCGTCAGCTCGATGTTTGTCGTGCAGATTTGGTAACGTGCTATTCGAGCCCACGTGGACCCGGAACCACCTGGCCTGCGTCACTATCACGTTCAAGGAGCCTTTCGGAACCAAGGGACGTGGCGGCTATTTCGACCAGTTCGGAATCATCAGGTAATAAGAACAGCACAACACCATATCAGTATCCTTGGTGAGATCCATTAACAGGAAATAAAAAAAAAACATTAGACATCGGCTAAATGGCTGAAGTTGTTAAATGTTATGATTCTGAAAAACAGTTTTCACAATAATATGATTCTAAAAACGTAATTCTGTCTTTCACCGAAACCAAACCAGATATGTAAAAAAAAAAAACGATTTTGCGTGTGTTGCTGGCACCCAAATTTCGTTGAATACATAGCATTTCCTCGCTGTCCACGCACGTCTTACGGCCAGTGTCGACGGCTCCGTTTCAGGGATGTGATGCAGAACCACCTGCTGCAGATCCTCTGTCTCGTTGCGATGGAGAAGCCGTGCTCAACGGCCGCCTCCGATATCCGCGACGAAAAGGTCACATCACCTCTAATTTTCACCGCCGCGGCACTCCAGGCGGACATCGGCGAGCTGGAGCTGCAGTACCAGCGTGTAGTGCTCCAACACTCCGGGCCGATTCTTATCATGGGTGACCTAAACTGCAACCTGTTAGACACAGGTACAAACCCTGGCCGGGACCGACTCCGTGAAATGTTGCAGTCTTTTGATTTATATCAGCATGTGATGCAGCCCACCTTTTACACCGGTTCACTTTTAGATGTAGCTATTTGCAACTCTGAACACATCATCCGTCGTCTAGCCGTGTCAAAATGCTCTTTTAGCCCTCATTATGTCGTTCGCTTGCTTTTATCTTTACCGAAACGTGTTAAAAAACCATCCCGTCTGCGTTTTAGGCCGCTCAAACGTATCCAGCGAGATGCATTGCTTAGCGATTTGTACAGTGTGGACTGGTCGTGCGTTTTTAGCAGCTATCCGGTTTCTTTTATGTGGTCTTTCTTTACTGATCGTTTGCTATCCGTTTTAGATAGACATGCCCCGACTAAAATCGCTACCATCCGGAACCCCGAAGCGCCGGCTGTCACCGCGGCGACTCTCGATCTTATGTCCCAGCGGAGGGGTGTACTGCGCCGCGAGGGGAGATCGCCGACCTTTCGCGAACTTGATAGGAGGGTCAGGTCGGCGATCCGGCAAGATTGTAGAGCGGACATTGAAGCTAGGCTCCGTGAGCATGGCAGCAGCTCACTGTACCGTGTGATCCGCCCTATAATCGCCGGAAAGCGTAGCAGTGCCCCTAGTCTTCCTGCCGCTACTCCCGACGAGGTTAATGCGTACTTTGTTGGTGTCGGTGCTCGGATTGCTGATGAGCTGGCCAGCCTGGGGCCCCCGCCCGCTGTCCCGTGTCGCCTGCCGCGTGTGGGCGCCTGCGGCTTCCGCGTGCGCGGCACCACGCTGGCCGGCCTGCGGGAGGTAATGTTCTCCATGAAGCGTTCCGGTGTTTGTGGGCCTGACGGAATTTGTATCCGTATCCTAATCCTATGTTTTGACGCCATCGGCCCTGTCCTTCTCCACATCATTAACTCGTGCCTTACCAGATGTGAAATCCCTGATTCATGGAAACACTCCCTGGTGCATCCTATTTTCAAGTCCGGCGACCCTTCCTTGCCCTCCAATTACCGTCCTATATCCATAGTTCCCGTCATAGCCAAGATTGTCGAACGTGTGGTGCAGCGACAGCTGTATGCCTATATGTCCGACAATCATCTCCTATCCTCATCCCAACACGGTTTCCGTCCCCACCATTCAACCGAGACCGCTCTGCTCTCTGTTACTAACAGTATTTTCTCCAACATGGACCGTAGCCACCTTTCCCTCCTGTGCCTCTTGGATCTGAGCAAATGTTTTGACGCTATTCCACACTCTCTGCTCCTTAGCAAACTTCAGCAATATAACATTGACACATCCTGGTTTTCTTCGTATCTCCATGGTCATTCCCAGTCAGTCTCCATCTGCTCTCCTTCCGGCGCCAGAGTGGTCTCAAATCCCCTTCCTATCACCACGGGAGTGTTCCAGGGATCCGTCCTTGGTCCTCTCCTATTCACCATCTTTTCCAACGACCTCAGCCTGCACGCACCGGACGCCCATGTGACTCAGTACGCTGACGACACCCAAATCCTGTTGTCCGATGTCAAAGCCAATCTTCCTGACCTCATCCAACGCATGGAATCTACCCTCTCCACCTTGTCTGCTTGGTTCCATGCCCATGGCTTAAAACTCAACGCGTCCAAAACTGAAATCCTTCTCCTCGGCACCCGTCAGAACACCCGTAACCTCCCCCCTGTCAGCGTACGGGTCGGTGGTGGGACTGTTCGGGAGAGCCGGACAGTCAAAAACCTTGGCGTGATGTTTGACCGTCATTTGAGTTGGGACGCACACGTCAGTGACGTGGTTCGCCACTGTACCGGCCTCCTGATCGGTCTCCGCCACCTGAGGCATTTCCTCCCGCAGCACGTACTGAAAACTATTGTTGAGGGGTTGGTCATCTCGCGCGTGAGATACTGCATATCTGTTTACGGAAACGGTTCTGCCGATAACTGTGCCAGACTTCTCAAAATTATTAACTTCGCTACAAGAGTTATTACCGGCCTCAAAAAGTACGACCACGTATCTCGCGCGCGGGATGACCTGCGCCTCAAATCGGCCAGTGACATGTACCGGGTCGCAGCGGTGACTGTCGCGCGCGGTGTGATTGTGCGCGGTGAACCGACCGTCCTCGCCTCACTGTTCGCCACGAACGCGGGGTCGCGGGCCAGTGGTGACCGCACCACCCGGAATGACCGTCGCCTACGGCCACCGGTTTCGCGCACTGCGGCGGGGCAGCGGGCCTTTTCACACCAAGCGACCGCGCTTTTAAACCAGTTGCCCGCTGCCCTTTTAGATCTCGACCCGGACAGTTTTAAGAAAGCAGTAAAGGCGCACTTCTGATGGGGTTCCGAGAGGCTGTTATTGTCGGTGATCTGATTGCGTATGACGTGTGCATTGAGTGCCTGGTGTGTGCGTGGGTGGTGATTTCTGACGGTAAATTTTATTCCCATTTTACCCTGATGTATGTTTTCTTTTTAACTCTCTGTGACTAGAGACACAGAATAGCCACGCCCATGTGGAGTTGTCTGCCTTTGTCAATACAATACAATAATTTTATAATATTGTTTGAAACCATCAATCAATGTGCAAGCAATGTTTTTGCAACGCTTTCCATTTAAATACATTATTCGTCTATCCGCTATTCTGGGGTGTTAGAAACTTCCCTATATCCGTCACAAAACCATAGGATGCACCTCGATTTTCATATGTCACGTGCCTATTCTATCCTGTATTTCATGTACAGGTCAAAGTGCTCAAGTGCACCCGCCAGCTCGGTCTGGAGGACGTCGTTCTTGGTCAGTACGTGGGTGACCCTCACGGTGACGGCGACGCCAGACAAGGGTACCTGGACGACACGACCGTGCCCAAGGTGCGTTATTAGCGCGGTCCCATGTTAGATATCTGATTCCCAAATGACATAATAATGACCATTCGCGTGCACTGAACAAATACCAGGGCACGCTACTTAATCGACTCCGTAATGATGGCCCTCAGAGTATTGATGTATTGGTCCTGCCAATGGAATAATGATTCAGACATTACCGCTCACCTCGTTCTGACGTTGTTCCTGTCCGTGAATTGTAACAGGACTCTGTGACGCCTACATTCGCGGCAGCAGTCCTGCGAATCGACAACGAACGCTGGGAGGGGGTGCCGTTCATCCTCCGCTGCGGAAAAGGTCGGTCGCGAAAAAGACGAAGCACACTGAGAAGCAAGGAATCTAATCAGCCATTTTGGATATTTAGCGATGCTTATTCTTTTGCAAGATTGTGTTGTTAATATATTGTGATGACATTATGACAAGATGTTTGACTTACAATATTAATACCAAAACCGTACGTGAAACCCCACAGTACCTGAGAAGTGACAAACGAAGGAATATCGGTACATGACCCCTCCAATCGACTACGGTGACCGTTTCTTTCCACGGCAGCGCTGAACGAGCGGAAGGCCGAGGTTCGCCTGCAGTACCGCGACGTGGCCGGCGACATATTCCGCGGGCAGGTGCACCGGAACGAGCTGGTCATCCGGCTGCAGCCCGGCGAGGCCGTCTACGTCAAAATGATGACCAAGCGGCCCGGCATGACGTTCGACATGGAGGAGACCGAGCTGGACCTCACCTACTCTGCACGCTATAAGGTGAGCTGCAGTGGACACTAATGGTAGCCGAAAGGAAAAAGAAAAAAAAAAAACGTTAAATGGCATACAAGAATAATGATTGACAGATTCATCGTGCAGTTTTCTTTGAATATACTTAGACGCCTTTGTGGCCCAACAAATCAAAACAATGTAGTTCTCCTTACCAAAGCTTGCCTATTTTCGTCTGAACCAATGAGTCTGTACGTGGCTGACGAGCTGCACCGTCGCTGCAGGATCTGAAGCTGCCGGACGCGTACGAGCGCCTACTCTTGGATGTGTTCTGCGGCGCTCAGATGCATTTTGTGCGCTCTGACGAGCTGGAGCACGCCTGGAGGATATTTACACCCCTGCTGCACGTCATAGATGAACAGAAACCCAAACCAGTGCCGTATAGGTATGCGCAAAGGAATACGATCTGTGACTCCAATTGTTCACGTTTAACCTTGCAACGCTACGGATGCCATCAACCAAAATAAACCTATCGAATGGAAGCGTGCCTTATTTGGGTACATATGTCATTAAATATGAATTCTTTTTTCAAGTCACAAATAAAATGGGGTAATGATTTGCAAAGCGATTTGGACTGGAATTTATTGGAATGTTGTGATGTTGTGTAAATAAACTTTAAAATATTGAAAAAAATAAATATGAATTCTTAAGTGACCTATCTTGTAAAGCTTGAACACGACACTAGGGCGCCAGCTCCGGTCACCAGCTACGGTTTACTCCTGTACCTAATACACAGTCACGCTTTGTTTCTGCAGGTATGGTTCCCGCGGACCAGCAGAGGCCGATGAACTGAGCCGGGGACTCGGATTCCGCTACACGGGAAGCTACTCGTGGAAAGGCGACGACGCACACCTATAGTCCACACAGCCGGTAAACATGGACGCTGCAGCCTGTAGTTTTGACACCCAGTGGGGATACCCCACGGTTTGCAGGACTTACGTGCCTCTGTTATTGAGGCAGACACACGATTAAAGGTAGTGTGCCACCTTTGAAAGATTTCCCATTTTATTTTTCCTAGGATAAGAAGCTTCTGTTTTTACCTAATATCGCAAAAAAAAATCAAAAATGGGCCTGGAATAGTGCCTTTTTCGCCTAAAAGTTTTTCGGTTTTTAGAAATGTATAACAACTGTAGTGGGCTCACCTGCAAACAGGCGTCGGGCAACAATCGCGAATGCGGCGCACTTGTGACAATAAGCAAAGGTCATTATAGTGTTACGACCATACGACGTACGGGAATGAGTTATCAGCTGTCTAATCGTAGACAACACAATGTCGAGCCTTAAACTGTAAGCCCGTATTGGTATTGTTTCTTTTATTTGGCTGTCGAACATTATTTATGGTTTGAAATATGATTTCATGTATGTAAAATAATTGATATGAAAAAGCCGTCTTATAAGTTATGACCCCATTTCACCACACGCAAGTGGCAGAAATGACAATGATCAGCTGACGCATTTTTCTTGGCCGAAGTCAGAGCGCGCGGCCCGACGCACCACGCGTATTTGGAAATTCCGACCTCGACGAGCATCAGAAGCCACCTAACAGGCGTGTTCGAAACCGCAGGAGATGATGATGAACGGGTTTATCGAAACTTGATTGGATGAGCATATCGGTAATAGCGATTTCAGTGTGTGCATTTATTGTTCATAGTGGTGTGAAATGTGGTTGGGGTACGACCGACAACCCGTCGGGGCGAATTTCGCACTGGGGTACTCAAAATTTGAAGCATTTAAGACGTTTCCATGAGTTTTGAAGGTATGGATAAGTTCTAAAAATCCGGTTCTCCTTATCTGGGCCATTAACTCCATACGGTCCAAGAAAGCTGGCACACTACCTTTAAGTGATGTCACCACGGTCTGGTATACGGTAGAGCCACTGCCGTCTCTAGCATGTGCCGGTGCCTAATCATATAGCGGAGGGAACAAGCCTTCGACAACAGTATTACATCCACAGATGGCTGGTGGAACCAATTATTTCTGTGCATGCATGTTGACCATTTATGGGAACTCAGCAAACCAAACACGTGGTCTGACTCAATGATATGCCATTGGATACGCTTGAAAACGCACCCACATGAATTGACGATCTTGTAGCCACATGTATATTGTGTACCGAATTGTCCAATAATTGTAACCGTTTTTTTTTTTTGTTGGTACGTTATTGACGCAACTAGTGACATTGATGTAACTTTTTTATTGACTTCGTCCCCAACGGTGCAGATCCCGCTGATAATCGTATTTGTAATCCGCTGTGGACACTTCCCTCATCGATGTATGTATGTACCTGTATGGGTCCCATTCACAAGACAATATATGGCTGTCAGACGTTTTCACGCTGGTGAAAATAAAATAATAATGTAACAGACAAAGCAGCAGTTTATTGAAATTGGTTCTGGTAATTATGATCCTAGAACAGAGTGAAGCCCGATATGAGAAGAATCGGAAGCAGTTATTCTACAAGACTCGTTCGCGTCAGATAAGTGATACGTAACTGAGAGGTTGTGATAAAATGCAGCATGCAAACAATGGAAAATGCACGGAAATGCGAAAAAGAAAATTAACAGGCATCTCCATGGTAACGGCATCGATGACGGCATCGATCGTCTTTGTTCAGGGCTGAACAAAGACGAATATGGCTCCCTATTCGTCACTCACTATTTCCTTCGACTAGCACTCAAACTAAATCAGCTCGCTATCTACAATATGCCGCTTCTGCAGCCAACGGCAGCCCTCTATGGAAGCATGTCAAGGCTCTGCTTCACTATCTCCGAGAAAGGAACCCTGCTGCGTGAATGGGTACGTTCAAAACGGTGGGCTGTGCTTTCCACAGACTGTCTGGTGCCACTCAGGCACCTGTGCTTTGCGACATGGACCTCCTGTGGGACGACCCGCCTCGTCGGGCACTCATCCTGAGACAGACTTTGAGTGTCTCGAGGATCCTTCGGCACTTGCAGCATAAATACGAGAGTAACATGGCACAGGATACCAGCGATGAAGAATGTAACAAGTGCTCCATCTTTTTCCATTTTAACACACAGCTCTCCAGAGACATTGTCACGGCCGTTCACCAGGGCCGACTTACCCTGTCCTGTGATGCCTCTCTGGCCGCTAGAAATGACGTCTGACGGCAGCTCTGCAGCGCCGCCTAGCGGCTCGTTGGCCAGTCGGCGGTGTCTCAGCAGCCGTCCCCTGGAACTGAAGCACAGCCGGCACCGTCCGCATGTGTACAGACCGTGCTCCAGCAGCACGTGCTGCCTCAGCGCCGGGAAGCGGGGCTCCTCCAGACCACAGATGGAGCACATGTCGTGCACGGGCCGCCGGGAGGTCAGCCGGCGCGCCAGCCCCGGGTCCGGGTCCGGGCAGACCGGCGCGTGGCTCCTGAGCAGCAGACTGTCGGGTGGGATATTCACCGGACCGTCCGGCCAGGGTCTGACAGTGGTGCCCTTTCTCGGCCGACCCCGAGGGCGCAGGGACTTGATTGGCACAGGAGAACCGAGGGAGTCCTTTTGGGCCTTTTGCGATCCTCTGTTCTTCACCCGATTTCCGATGCTGCTAGCTTTTTGAACCTCGTCAGCCCTTTTCCATGATTTCTTAGAAGCACGAGTCTGCTTTGTGCTGCCTGTTTTCACTTTACCTTGCTTACCTCTACATTCCGGGCTCTTTGACAGCGCTTGTTTCATTGAATTCACCTGCCTGTCACACTCGATCTTGTTCTTCAGTCCTTTTCGACCCCGCCCTCGATTAGCCGTTTCACTGGCACAGCAAACACATGACGCACCGGGCGACAGCCTTCGGGACGACAAAGGTGACGTCATACGTGACGTCAGACGCTGAGACCTACGTCTGACTAAAGTGGCTTCTTTTTCAGTGCCGGTGACTCTGAATGCTCTTTTTGGGGGTCCAGATCGACCAAACGAGGTTGCTAATTTGTTTCTAGCTATCTTCGTTGAGCCGACCGACTGAGCTGTTCCTGTGCTATGACTTTGGTTTTGAACTCGTTTTGAATACGACGATACCTTCGAATCATGAGTGTTTGAACTTTTGGCGTTAACAGCAGCTGCACGAGCTTTCGAGCGTGTGGTCATCACTGGAGCACGCAATTCTGCAACAGCATTACGTGCGGAATGCACCTGATTTTTGGTGAGTCGTGGTGTTGCTTGACGTACATTTGAAGCGCCATTTCTGCGCGATTCTCGCCGAGACGAGCCGGACCGATCTCGGATCTGTTTCACGGACTCCTGTTTCTTCGGAGGCATTTTCACTTTTCGCAATAAACTCGGCAGAGTCCGGCACGTAATCAGTGAGTCTAGTGCCGCTCTACGAGCCAACAAGACCGTCGGTTGTAACCACCGTCCGTATTCGGTAACAGTCACCCTTTTCTGCGCAGTCACAATGTCTACTCTCCCCTGCGATCGCACAGGCTGAGGGCGCCGGTCGACACCACAGATAAAACACGATCGTCCTCCTGATCACACTGATCTGGTGTAGATGATCGCTGTCCGCCACTGCAGATCAATCTCAGTTGTCCTCAGCTGCGCAAACAGCATTCGGCACCTCCACCACAAATGCACTCAGCAGCCCGCACTCTCAAACACAGCTCACTGCTACCTCTACCGAACAGAGACTGGTCAGAGTGCGCCGCAGACTGACGCCCAGGGCTCGGTCGACACACAGCGCCCCGGGGGAACCTGAGCCGACATCTGACACCGAGCGCCCGGCCGACGCCACGGTCCGCGGCTCGAGAGACAACGGGTAGGGGAGGGGAGAGGAGAGGGAGACAGTAGGACAGCTGGGGCAAGCGAGACATGTCATTCCTTGATTAGATTACTGCTATGCTAACAGTTCACGGAGAGTATATGCGTCCAGTAAACCACAGTCTACGGATAAGACAGTTGAAGTGATCAGCGTGTGTAGTGTGGGCATTGTTTGTCTCAATATATATGCTTCCTCTTTGTCTGCCTTCAGTAATCAATACGACTGGATAAAAACATGCTCCGAAAACATTCACGTTGAAACGCTCAGCCCGCCGGGCCCCGGTCCCCTCTCCCAGGCCGACGATCGGCCGGGGGTGTGCTGCGGCACAGCATGCACACAGGCGCTTACAGTTAGCGCCATCTATCATCAGGAATGTAAGTGCAGTGCCTACGCCAGCGGCTGTGCATTGCGGCACAGCATACCTGCAGGCGTTGACAACTAGCGACATCTATGCTTAGGAATGTAAGCGTAGTGCCTACGTCAGCCGTCATGTACTGCGACACAGCATAACTGCAGTCTGCAGGTGTTTACAACTAGCGGCATCTGTGAGCCAGAATATAAGTTAGTTTGTGTTTCCTACGTCAGCAGCCGTGTATTGCGGTACAGCGTAACTGCAGGCGTCGACAGCTAGCGTCATCTATGAGCTAGAATGTAAGTAGCGAACGTTCTCGTATGGTTGGAATCAGAAATAGTTGATGTTGATTACAACTGATTTGATGTTGAGTCTTAAATAATAAGACTAATTCTTAAGACTTACTTCAGGTATTTGCTGTTCTTTTAACTATCTATATTTTCTATTTTAAGTTTAAAAACTGAGTGTTCCATCCAAATTACCTATAGGGTATTTTCTGTTATCGTCTAAAATATCGCTTTGTACCTGATATCAAAAACTGGTTTGGTTGCGCAACAGTTTCACCAAGCGAGGGTGCAGCAAGCTCCTGCTTCCTTCAAACAGTCGAGCTAAATGAAACAGCATGTTTACATTCCCTCACAGAAGCGAACCAGAGCCATGTCATTTATTGCGTCCGCACGCCACATTTTGGACCAGTATCGCTCGCGCACAGAGCAGGTAACAGTCATGTTTTCTCCCAGCACTCCATCGCGCCCCTCTCCCCCTCCCTGGCCAGGCGCGGACAGCCAGGCGCCGGCCAGAGCCGCGCTTCGGACGCCATTTTGATTATCGTCAGAGCCCCGCCGGGGCGGGTGAGATCCCCACATCCCAGCCGGTCCCCAGGCGCACCCACCACTCCTTCCGCTAGCTAGCATATCACATCCTCAGACCATAAGGCGGCGTTGAGCAAACGGTAACGGTCGGGCCG